TCAAGTAAAGATTATCAAGTGTCAGAGTGTTGACTTTGAATATTTCTGTTAATATATCTGAATACACTTGTTTTCATGATTTAAGAGTATAATTGAGCAATCTTTGTAGAAACTGCCAATTTATATACAAACCTTCACAACAAAAATATTCTCCGTTTCAGGTACTTATTATTTTCAGACCTTAGTTTTTTACTTTCTCACTTCCTAAAGTTTGGGGGTTTTTTTAATCTTTCTTTATCTCTTAATTACATCGGGTAATCTCTTTAATGATATTGTCATATATTTTACCTCTTTTTATATATATTTTTTTACCTGTTTATTCTGTCTTGTTATTCACTGAAAATGTCTCTGTGAAAGATAATTCTTTCAACAGGGGCCAGAGACCAGCATTTTTTTTAATCTGCCAGTTGTTTCTGTTAACTGTTGAAGATGTATGTCATCTTGGACATAACCTCTGTTGGGAATGATGGATTATTTCTACAAAAATAACCTATTTTGCCATGAATTTTCTGTTACTGGACATACTGTATTACAAAATTGCAAATTCCAAAGAAGATGCCAATGTGGAAAGAATGAAGCCTAATCTAGCCTGTGTAGCTAATTTCAGCATTTCTTTAATTTCATTTTTGCAGTTAGTTTACTTTTATTCTCTGGTTTTATTGACTGTCTTATTTTAGAATAATTCCTAACAATACTGGTTTTGAGACAAAACTGAGTGAGTAAATAGTTTATAGTTTGTGTTTGATGTGGGATTCAGTTTCAACTTCATACATATACATACCTAGTTGGTTACACACAGCATAGACATCTGTACCCTCCCTCCAGTCAGTGGAACTGATTGTATTTCTGGGTTGGCAGTTACAGAGTGACTAAAATGACAGTGCACAACAAATTTCAAGTTTCATCTGTGGAGAGTAGAATTTTTTTAATATTATCTCTTGTGGCTTAATTCTTGATGCTCAGAAATGCAGAAGGTCTAGGACAGGCAACATTCAAAAAATTAAGCAGATTATTTATTAACATTGTTATTACTGTATTGAAGGACTGAACATTATTTGAAAGGTATTTTTAAAAATTGGCTTAAGAGAAAAAAACACATAATATAAATGCTTTGAACAACAAAATGTGACAAGATTCCTATAACTGACATGCAATATGAAATCCAGAAGATGTCTAGGATCTGCAAAACCAGAAGGAATCAAGTAACACAGCAAGATACAAAATGAATCAGCATATTGAAACTACAACATGAAAGAAGTCATAAGATACTGGCCCCTACAGGAAAGGCTAGATACAGATAGGTGAAAAAAAAATCTCATATTGGATATGCAAAAGGGCTTAAAGAAAACATTTAAATTTGAATGTGCACAAACTTGAACCATTATTAGTTTCATAATTTCTTTCAGAGAATTGAAAAATTCTACTTTTTCAAAATATATATAAAATATGATTTTTATTTTAGTAAAATTGTCTGATGATCACTACCCACTCTTCTCATTTTCAGTTTTCACAGAGGTGTGAATACAATGTCCTCCTTTGTGTGAAAGAACTCAAATATATTACTTCAATTTCTACTGTCATGTAGTGAAGAAAGAAGTAAAGGCATGAGATAGAGAAAAGAGAGCACATTTTTACATGTATTGAAATGCTAAGAAGTGTTTAAAATAATTTTACTGAAAGGCCAATCTTGAAGCTCACTAACTTGATATTGCAGTTTGCCCAGACAGACATCAAAAGGAAAACAGTAATTAAAAAAAAAAGATTGTGAATATAATGAATTTTAGCTTCCTTAGTATTCTGAACACTCAAAGCTTTTTGCACTTAACACCTTCCACCTTAATGAATTTAACATTATCATTATTATTTGCACTGCTACTGAAATATCTTACAAATGATATATTGTCAAAGAATTAGAGGAAAAAAACACGAATTAAAGGTCTTTATATATTTCCCACAGATAGAGACTGGATCATGAGATACCTATTGTATTTGGGCAGAAATACTGCTACCATTCTGATTCTATTATTATTTTTGATTGACAAGTTGTTGCTAGCTCACCAATTTATTTGGTTTTTTTGTATTCTAAAGTACCACCAAAGTGCTCTTTACAGACATAGTCTAATCAGAAAAAAAAATAGTGTCACAGAATGCAATATCTATGAAGATCACATTCACTGGAAAATGTATGCTTTAAAAGTGACTGCCCATGTTGTTGTAAAATAAGGAAATTCAAGTTTAAATTATAAGATATTTATCTTAAGTCAGTTGAGTATATTTTTCATGTCTAAATGTTAAATTTTCCATTAAGCAATAATAAAATTATCAATAGAGAGGTACTATTCTATGGTGAGATTACAGACAGCACTAATCTTTGTTTCATATTAAGTTGATGCCAATTCCAAGATTCCATCAAAACTACTACCAGTCCTTGCTGCCACCACATACATAATAAATATTACTATTTCTCTACACTTTATTGGCTATTCAAAGTGTGTGCAATCAGATTGAACTAGATTTGTCATGTTATGCCATGGTGCAAAATTAATGTGAAATCAATGCAATACTCCCACTGACTTAAAATAACTTTAAATCAAGATTTGTCACTGTAGTGATGCATCTCAAGTTATCTTATATTTGTGATGAGAAAGGAATCAGTTCTTTACCTATGTAACTATGATTTTAATATGGAAAGAAAAAGTGCATTTTGGCACAACTTCTGGTCATGACATAAACTGTGCCCCATACCATAAAATCAAGGTTAAGTATGGGAAAGGGGAGTGTATCAATAAGAGCTTTTACTATCTGTGATTTAAAAGAAAAGATGATTAAGGACACATTTTTTGTTTGCTATGAGCTGTAGTGTTTCACTTGTGTCTGAAGGGTGGATTTGATCCACAGCAGTTTATAATAGCTGATTATTTAGCTGGTAACACCTAATTCCAATTTCATTTGCATCAGTAACCACATTGGTTGTGAAAGTAGGCTGATTTATGAACATGTGAGCAAGCTTAGAATTAGAGCCATAGACTTTACAACTACACTATCAAAGCAGAGAATAAAACAAACAGATTCTCCTAAACCATTTCTATGGCTCCCAACTCTGTACATTCTGAGCTTTTCATATATATTAATAAATTTATCCTCACAAAATTCATTTGAGAAAAGGGAATATTTTTTAGTTTCTTTGAAGAACTGTTGCTGTGGAAAAGAATCAGATGTATTAAGTGTCAAGCATCAAAAATTTTATTCCCAATATTACTAAAAATTCATAGTCTGGAGAGAGGAAAAATGAAAGGCTAAATTCAATAGTGGTGTCTCAACAGCATTTCAGTGCTGTATGAGTTGGTGTCCCGCAGAAAGTTATTTGCAGGTTTTTTTTAGAACACTTGTTCTTACCTTTTTTAATAGTTACCCTCAATACAATGATCTTCTCACCATCCACATGCTCCATCTCTCTGCCTCTTTAGCAAGGGCTCTATCACTGTTCCCTTCTCATCTTTCAGGGTGCAGCCTTTTGGCAGGACATCAGTGGAATAAATGGAACCATGTTAGTGCATCCACTGAGACAGTTCAGCTAATCCTATTTTTTCCAATTCCCTGGACAGAAAAAACTCTATAGAGTGCATTGGCCTATATCTTGAGATGCACCACTTGTTTCTGACATAACAGAATTGATACCACAAGTTACAGGCAGCATGGAGAGACAATGTTGAGCTGATATGCCATGCAAGTTGTGCAGACTGGAATAGCCAGTTTGGAGAGAAATGTGGCTCATATTTCAGATGTATTGGGAATTCACAGTAATAGAAGGGCAAGAAATGAGACAATCAAAGTTGCAAGGAAATTGGAAAGGGCAGTCTGATGGCAGATTCCATACATGATGGGCATCTTTTCTGTGGATTTGGTGTACTATTTTCTTACCTTGCATGGATTAACTAAAGGTAAATCATGTTTGACCAATCTGATTGGTGTCTACAATTGCAAAACTACCTGGATGGATGAGGGGAGAAAAGTGAGTATTGTCTACTCCCACCTCAGAAAAGCTTTTGTCACTGTCTCTCACAACATCCTTGTAGGCAAACTCAGGAAGGACTGGATGAATGAAGAGTGAGTGGATGTGAGAATTGGCTGAACAGCAGATCCCACAGGGTTGTTATCAGTAGCACACAGTTTAGTTGGATGCCAGCCAGTAGTGGTGTCCCCCAGCATTCAGTACAGGTACCAGAATTGTTGAACTTATCCATCAATGGATTGGATGAAGGGGCAGATGCCTCCTCACCAGTTTGGCTGGTGACAGAAAGCAGGAAAGAGTGGCTAATATCCCAAAGGGCTGTGCAGCCCTTCAAAAGGACTCAACAGGCTGGAGAGATGGGCAGAGAAGATCTGTCTGAAGTTCAACAAAGGCAAATGCAGGGTCCCACACTGGGGAAGAATAATCCCATGCTCCAGCGCAGTCTGGGGGCTGATCTTCTGGAAAGCAGCTCTGTGGAGAAGGACCTGGGGCTCCTGGTAGACTACAAGCTGTCCATGAGCCAGCAGTGTGCCCTGGTGCCCAAGAAGGCAATGGTGTCCTGTGGTGTAATAGGAAGAGGTTGAGAGGTCTACCAGGCCAGCAGGTCGAGAGAGGTGATCCTGCCTCTACTGAGCCCTGGTGAGGTCTCAGAGTCCTGTGTCCAGTTCTGGGCTCCTCAGTCAAGGGAGACATGAAGATCCTGAAGTCGGTCCAGCAGAGGGCCACAAGGATGATTAGGGGAGTGGAATGTCTCTCTTATGTGGAAAGGCTGAGGGAGTTTGGCCTGTTCAGCCTCAAGAAGAAACAACTGATAGGACTCCTCATGTCTACCAGTGTCTATACGTATCCAAAGAGAAAGTGTCAAGAGGAGGGAGCCAGGCTCTTCTTGTTCATGCCAGACAATAGGACAAGGAGCTACAGACAGATGTACAGCATGTCCCACCTGAGTCTGAGAAAGAGCTTCTTTTCTGTGTAGGTGAAAGCACTCTGGAACAGATTGTCCAGAGAAGTTGTGGAGTCTCCCTCACTGGAGATGTTAAAAAACCATCTGGACATAATCTCATGCCATGTACTCTAGGATGACCCTGCTTGAGGAGGGAGATTGGATCAGATGATCCCCAGTGGTCCCTTCTAACATTACCCATTGATTACAAAAACAACTCAAGTGACTGAACTGGGGAACAAGTAGCAGTTGGATAATGTAGACTTAATTTTGATACTGTAATTTAGATACCTCAAAGGCTTTGCATGGAGATTTCCATCAATTTTTGGTGAAGTCATTGCAGACTGGCCAAAAGCGTATCTATTAAGAAGATGGTGATTTCTTCCATGTTAGGTTCTTGCCCCAGAACAGATATTTTTAATTTGGGTCTATCATCCACACATAGATATCTCATGCCATTTGAAATGTCCTTAGCTATTCAACATATCACCTTCACAAGGCTGACAGACAGAAAGATGTGTGCCCTTCTGTAGTATCAGTTGAAATGCAGCAAAGGCATCCTATTGCATCTCAAGTTACACTATTATGCTGTGTCTGGACAACTGCACTGAACGCCTCATTCCTCCGTTTACACACATAGAAGCATTACATTCAGCTTAGCTATCAGTCAGATCACTGAGACATCTACACTTAACTACAAAGCAATAGTTCATTTAGGAAAGACAAAAATCAGCTTGGTCATACTTGCCCTCCATAACCCCAGACTTTTCTATACAATCTTACTACTTCATTGTATCTACCCCTACTGCCTCCTATGAAGTTACCTTGAAAATATATGGTGAAATGAAAAAGGTGCACTGTGCTCACTTCCAGAGTTGCCACAAACTTTTACAAGATCTTGGACAGAGCCTGGTGCTAGTTACTGTCAGGCCATGTTCTGGGTTGATCAAGCAGACAGAAAAATCACAGCAAATATCCCTTTTAATGCTTAGGCAGATGAGTGTAGGGCTGGTAAAGTGTTTTCTTCATATGTCAATGATGCCTATGACCACATACTGTACATGCTGAAGGTCTAGAAAGGAGCAGAGGAATTGTGTCACAGGAAAAGGCATCCATTGTTGTGACTGTACATGTGAGAGATACCAGGCTGAATTTCTGTGTCCAGAGCCCTGGGTATAGCCACCCAGCAGCTGCGAGTTTCATGTGTTTTGTGTCAGAAGGGCAGCCAGATTCTTACAAAATACTGAAAAAACAGAGTAACAAAATATAATAAATGAGAACTCACACATCTAGACTTTGACTTTTAGTCTGAATAATCACATTGTGTTATGCCTTAGTATGTTATCAAGGTAATTTTTTGTCTTTAAGAAATCATTGTAAAGATTACTTATTTTATTATGCAAATCTAGAAAACTTTACCATTTCAGATAATTCATAGTTGTCTTTTAAAAATTAAAATTAGTGTTAAATTTTCTTGTTCATTGGATAGTATTTTTTTCTTTGTAATTAACCTTGGAAAAGTATTCTTTATCTTCTGGCTTTATCTAGTGTTCTGAGAATTAATTTCTCAGTCATTCAAAAAACATTCAAATAGCTGTTTATTTTGCTAACCAATAAATATCTTTGTATTCCATATTGGTACCTAAAACCATCCAGTTTTTAAGAGGACCCCACAAATACCTGTGTCATTAGAAAGAAAAGTATTCAGCTATAAGATAGCAATGGGGATGGATGACTTCATTTGGAAAGAGGTTTAGATTTTATCTGTTCTTGATCATCTCCCAGAATACCTATCCGTTTTTACTAACTAAGAAGCCTGGAGCAATGAAAGTATCTCAATAAAGCATTTAAAGTTAATGATGTGAATCAATCCATAAGCTTTTTATACTCACTAACCCTACACAATATTTCTCTATGAGACTCAAGAATAATGATTTATACATACTGTCATGGAATATATTCTTAAAGGTTGATTGCTTTCCTAACAAGCTGATTTGAAGTTTATGGTACCTACATACAACTCATGATGAAAACTGCTATGAAAAAGCTACGGAAGTTTGATACACTTTCAGAAGACTTAAGAGCATACTATAAGCACCACAAATATTAAAAGAAACTACTGTTCTGTCGTAGTTTTTAAACTGAGCTTAAAATAAAATTATTTAACAGAAGCAGCCCTCAAGAACTATGATCTTATCTGTGGACTAAGAGGTGATTGTATTTATTACAGATTTACAGATGAGAGACATTACCTCTGAAGGATTTCAGGCTTATCACTTATGAGAAACCAAAGGTTTCTTCATAATTTCTTTAATTAACGTGGACTTCTTATAAAAAAAAACAACCAAATACAACTGCACTCAATTATCAGTTCAAGTATTTTTTGAACGAATGTTTATCACTGAGCATTTCAAAGAGGGTTAGAAGTAAGAATGAAATTGTGAGTTACTAAAATTTAAATTTATATGTAATAGCACTTGTGTATCAAAATATATGAATCTAGGATTTAAAAAACAAAAAACTCCAACATTTTTATATATTACTCACCTTCTGAACCACTCTTATGCCATGAGCTCATATTTGTATTCCAAGGCAAAAGATGATCAACAGCTTTGGATCTCAAGATTTCCTTATGTTGAAATAGAGTCTAAAAGAGAAGAAGAAGAATAATAATTTGTATTTTAAAATCTAGACTAATCTACCCAAATGCTGGTGTCTTTAATTTCTTTCTTTCTACAGGGAGCTGTCAGATATGATCAGAAAGTTTAATCTTGGCATCACAGACCATTATGTCTCATTATCTACAAGATATTTGGATTGAAAATTTAGTCCAATTATAATTGCTTGCTTCCTATTTACAAGTTTAATCATTGTATAACTACCTTCAAAAAGAACTGCTGGAATGACTCATTTTTTTTAGTAATATTATAGTTTTAGAGAATGGTGTGATCATGAATTTCCTGACATTAACTTTTGCACGCTTTCAACCAATTTCTAAACTGCTTTTTAAAAAATCAACCCAAGGTTTATGAACTGTGTTTTCTATGTATTCTAATAAAAAATACAAGATGATAACAGCTGTGTTGAGATTTTGTTTGTAAACTACATTTGTTTTGAGAAAGATCACTCTATGCTCGTTTATCATATTTCACTAATTAGCTTTTGCTTGCATTTGTATACAAGCAATTATTTTTTTTCTCTGTCTATAAGCTGGACAAGAAAATCTCTTTACTCAAAGTTTTCTCTTTATTACTAAAGTTATATGAACTTCTAGTTGGCATATATTGACATTTTTTAGCAAATATTGTAATATTTTTATTTTTTAACAAAACTTTAAGCAAAAGGAAAGCAATGTTTGTTGAAGACGGATTTACAAATATAAATAGGAATTTGTAATAGGCAAAATTTTAAAAGGTTAAAGGCTTTGATTTAAATTCACATACATACATAGTGATCGTAATGCCAAGGTTGTGGTTTTGATCTCTGCATAGGCCATTCACTTAAGATGTGGACTCAATGATCCTTGTGGGTCCCTTCCAACTCACAATATTCTCTGATTCTGTGACTAAGTTGAACTATCTAGGCTGTCTAAATCCCTGAGGTTCACTAAAATTGAGTCTTGAAAACTTAAGAGACCAGACTTTTCTTCTGGTGCCAGCTGGTTTAAGAAGCAGTGAAAATAGCTTTTCTTATCTTACTTTAGCATTAGTTCTCTTGGACAGATTAAAAAGTATAGAGGAAAGCCAAATGAATAACAATAAAAACAACAAAACACAATTTATGGAGCTTGTAAAAAGACTTCATATGAGTCTAAAACTTTTGTTATCTTTAAATGCTTGATATATCCAGCCACTACTGTGTACATCCCTTCCAGCTATAGTTATTTAAAACATATGGGATTATCCAGTTACTTGTTAATCTGATGTTTGTGAAAACTTTGTCATTGACTTGCAGACAGACAGACTGAATTATCAGAAAGTAATGTCATTTCATATATATAATTTCATGTTTGTGACATGTATCATGTTCAAGAATATCATTCCATGAAGCAGTCAGGATTTCAATGCACAAATAAAAAGCATAATTCAAGATGTATTCTGTGCCAAAACACATAAGAAAGGTAACTTCCCCTTTTCAGTCACTCCACTGATTTCCTGTGTAAATAGGGAAAATCACTGAGTATCATACTTATTTCATTTGATGTTTATGTCCTTTATTCTTGGTATTTGCTTAGTCAATGATAAGGTATATGTATCTGCAAAGCTAATTCTCTTCTTCAGATAATTAATGCATGTGGAAAAAAATTACCATTTGCATAATGATAATTGACAAAGTTAGGTTTTGGTTGAAACAAATCCCGATTTTAATTTCTTCATGTCTCAATGCCTTTTCTTTATGTCCAGACTGTGCTCTTTTCTTTAGAAGTTCCTGCTGGAAATGTTAAAGAACTTTAGAATTCTAGTTTTACCATGACACTTGTCATCTACTAGTTCCCATTATTACTGATGATTAATTCTAGCTCTTGAATTATACACCTTTCCTAAATATTTGATACAGTAACATGGAAAAGTTTAAGAAGCTGTTGCATATAATAGTACCAGGAGAGAGAGAAACCTAGAGGATAACAGCTGAGATCTGCTACTGTGCTCCTCTGTGTGCTCGATTCAGCAAGATTATGTATCTTATTAATGCCATCTACTTTGGAATCAAACAGCATCCACATCCTTTTCGGTCAGTTTGACAAGTTGTCACTATTCATTTACGACCTGTCAGATACCACTCTATTTTCCCAAATGGAAATAATTCAAATTTCTTCTCATTCTTTCTTTTCTCTTTCTTCTTTTGAACATGTTCCAATTTTGACTTCATGCTCAGCTGCTTTAAACAGCTTTAACAGTCTATGTCAGCACCAGTAAATTAACTTTTTCTAAAGTCAGTTACTTCCTTATCTCTGTCCTACAAGTGATACTGTCAGTAAATGTAGCCCAGACCACAAAGATATATTTTCTCTGAAAAAAAATCATCTCTCACTCATAATCTCCCAGTCTAACTAACTTTTCCCCAAAAATAATAAGTAAAAAGACATTTTGTTTTACACTTTTTGTAGAAAAAAGCATTTGAGTTATTGTTGAAGCAGTTCATAGGCAAGTCTGCAAACTTACTTTTTCCCCCCAAGGAGTCACCTGGCTTTTTTTTGTTTAAATATTCTCAAACATATTAGCTTGCCTCTATCTACATTTTTCTACTGAAAAAACATTTATTTTATTCAAAAGATTTCTGAAGGATTAAGGACAAAAAGTTAAGATTATGGTCACAATTATGAAAATAATAGGTAAGGAAAAGTGCACACCTGGCTAAAAAGTCCCTGCACTTTTAACTCACAGTTAATGATTTTTAAAACTCTCTTAATCAGTAAAAACTGATCATATACCTCAATCTTCTGGATTTTAACAAATCTTTTAAGAGCACATTATCTTCTTTCCATAAAAAATAAATTGTGCTTATCTAGGATCTTGGAGAATAGTCTTGCAACCAGACAGAGAGAAGATTCAATTATAAATTTACCTTATATTTTATTTAGAATTAACTGCATACTTTCTTCAATGGAGACCAAAGAGTACAATTGCAATTGTTTATCCACCTAAAATCACTTTCTATAGGTTTTATCAAATTTATTAAACCTGGAAAAGATCAGATGTATTTTAACATTTTTTGCTGTGTAATAGGGGGATTCATATAAGTTTTATGCTTGGCTGATGAAGAGTAATGATTATTTTGACTTTCTCAGCTGGTTCATGGGTCTTCTGCCTTCAAGGTCTATCATAATTTAAGTAGTTTCAAACATAGCAAACTTGTCATCATGATGCATTAGCGTTTTAAAGCTGATGTTAGGGCACTAATAAGATATAACAGGCCTGATCAGCCTTACCTGAGGCTTCTGGCCACACCTAGGTATCCAAAGGCTCCAGCTCAGGTCCTCAATGGGCTCATCAGCCCCTCCCGAGCTATTCTGGAAGAGCGTTGGACCTCTGTTCAGAAACATTCCCTTGCCATTCCCTTGCCAGTCCACAATCAGAACTCTGTTGCCACCACGAGGGAGCTGTGCTGTGCTGGAGCCTCACTGTGCACTGCTGGGCAGGTGCTGGCTGACATTGTTCTCTCATCCCCCACTTCCCCCTGCCTGCTTAAACCAGAGCCAACAGCAGGGGTTATGATGGCTCCATCCACTTCACTCTGGATTTTGGGGGACAGATGGCAACAGGGTAGCCAAGGGCTGTCAGGAATGGTGGCCCAGATGTCTTGCTAGTATGCTAATATGACTATAAATCAATCATCCTACTCTATAAATAGCGGGCAGCCCAGAGCCCTTGAGCTCTCCTGCATGGCAGTGGGCTGCATGCCAGGATCTCTCCTTGAGTAAGGACATCTTTGAAGGTTACTCCTCAAGGCTGAGATGTTCCTTGATGCAACAGATCTTTGGTAATGATTATCAATGTGCTAAACTTTTAAATATTAGCTGAGTGATATAAGGACTGATTATGTGCATGTTATCATTTAGAAGTAAATAGTTGACACAATGGAGGACTAGGACTGGACCAGCTGCACCTAAACTCCTCTCTGAGATGGAGGTAAGAAGACAAGAATGTCCTTTCTGGATGTTGTGACTCAACAGGAGGCTCTTCCTGCTTTATCTAACCCTGTCCTCTATGCAGATATCAATCCAGCCTATCTTGTCATGGAATCCTGTTAAATCACTGTCACATTTAGCATTGAATTCTGATAGCTCGCTGTTTTGTATCAATAAAGCATATTGTGGTTTTCTATTAGGATAGAAGTGCATTGCTCCATTCATGACGTGAGGACCTGTTCTGCCAACTCTTGGGCACCCTCAGCTCCTGGTCCTCTTAAGGAGCAGCTAGCCCTTTCTATTTAATTGATTTTGGATGAAATATGTATTATTTTAACGTATACCTGAGTGCTCAGAATTAATAATGAAATACTGAAACAAGGATGGAGCTGTATCTTCAAGCAATAAAACAAATTGGTTTTTAGAAGTAGCATGTCTAAATTAAGTGTCTTCTAATTTCTGCATAATACCACTTTTTTCTTGATCTAAACATATCTGAAATGCATGACTCAGGAAAATATTATAAAGCACTTTAGGCATGTTGTTCTCTTTCTAAATAAAAAAGAATAACCTTATTGTTTACTTCCATCCTGAAGTACTCAGATTTGGAAGTAAATGCATCTTCTTTATATTAGTAAATATTTTTAAAGTATTTTAATTTTTTCCTCTTTTTTTTTTAACCTTAATGTATTTTAACTTCTAATAAATATAGTCCTACAATATTCTGTATTTTAGAGAATCTAAACAATTTTTTGTCAGAACCAATACAGAGAACATCATAAAGTTGCATTTGAAATTGATACTTTAAAATTTGTACTGGTTTCTTTTTACCTATGTAACTGAAGCTTTCCTGAACCTTTTCTGGGCTATGAGAAGTCAGGAAAGGAATCGGTATTTTATCAGCTCACAAGTACATTCAGGGCCTAAGAGACACCACCAACAAGAAAATGTTTATTGTTACAGTAAACTCTGGTAATCCAAAATAATTTGTTTATTTAAATGCTACTGTCTATTTCTGTGATCACCTCTCACAGGTCTTTCTTTCCAGTCTTGAGCAATTTCAATGTACAGGAAATTCTGCCTATTTCTTAGGGAAAAAAAGTCCAAAATAGTAGTTTTTCAATTGAAATCTATGCTCTTCCATTGTCCCTGTAGAGCTATTTGAGTTTTAAAATTTGATAGGAAAGAAATCATCTATATAAAGACTTTAGGAGTTCTCAGAGCATCAAATATTTATTTTGATGGCCATTCAGATAATTTATTATTCCAGTACTAATCAAAACATGATACACTGAATGCTGATTAGATTTGGTCATAATCTTTTGAATCAAATATTTTTCCCCTAGGAAATAGCGATTTGTCAAAATTAAACTCTGTATCAGTAATGTTAAATTCTTTTGCTTTAACAAAGAAATAAAATAAGATGAGAAAACAACAAAATGGATCCTTCACACTTATATGATGCAATTTTACAGTGATTAAACATATTCTAGGATGGACTCAGCTTCTGGGACTCCTCCTTATATAATACTTCAGTGGTAGTTGGAATACAGGAAATACTGATTGTATATTTAAGAAGAAAAAACACCACAAGGAAGCTCAAATATTGGTACTCAGAGAAACTGTAGGATGTCTATCCTTAAAGATATTAAAGATTACCACAGACCAGAGTATCTTGATTTAATTAGCTGTATTTTGAGCCAAGAGAGGGCTGAGTACCTCCAAATTTTTTTCTGATCTGAATTATTCTATGATTTTTCAGTTCTAAGAGTGATGTAATTTCTGGCCAAAGCTAGTGTTGCCTATCAGTTTCGGTAGAACTATCAACCCCGTATTTAGGACTATGCCTGAAATATCGAAATCAAAGTACCTTCTCTGACTACTGAAGTTTGGGGTTTTTTTTTGAAAACTTGATCTACAGTATTTTACATTTTAATGCTGTCTAGTTCCAGAATCTACATTTTGTCAGATATAATTTTATTTCGTGAAGAATGGAAACTTTTTTCTAGACCTAAACAGGACTGGGATGAAATCACCATTTCTTGCTTCCATTTTTCTTTTAGGAATTGTTGAGAAAAATGAAAACCGAAACATTCCCCAGGGACTGATATATTCTCATGGTCTAAGGAAACAGGAAGCTATTTTTGTAAGTCTACTTGTAATAAATCTGTTCCATACAGTATTTTTAATCATATTCTATAGTTTCTCCCCCTTTTATCTGGTTGACTAACATTTAATGTCCTAGGGTTTGCTTTATGTTTTAACTTTATTAAATTTGTGTTTTTTCTTTCTTTAAGTATTATATTCTATCTTGGCTTCAACCCTCTTTTTCTAATACCCTTCCTTTTTTGTTTTAATATGTAATCTAGAATTCTATCTTTATCAACCTTCTTATTTTTTAGCTAGCTTTAAATTTAACTCTTTTTTAAAAATGTTCCTAATATATCTCATGATTCTGGAAAACTATTGGCATTTCTAGATATCACAGGCTGTCTCACAGCTACCAGATACTGGGAGGAATTTCTCTTTTGTATCTAGGACAAATATTATCAACAGTCTGAAACAAAACAAGGTTTAGCGAGAAATATAGCTCAGCTAGTTTTCACATGCATAGAAAAGCTCACCTTGAGGGAACGTGCAATATGCAAACCATCACCATGCTATCCCTGACTGGAGGAGACTTGATGGATGCAAAAAAACCATCTGGGTTATCAGTTACCCATGAGTTCATTTTAAAATACAGATTGGTTTTAAAAGAAAAAAAAAAAACAAAACAAACCAACAAAAACATTCAGCTGTACAATAGAATAAAGTTCAGTTTTTGATTGTAACCTTTGTGGTAAGGTCAAAAAGAAATCAGAAAATACAGTCTTAACCCAGTAAAATGAGAAAATGGCACTGAGACTTGATACTAATCATTTTTACTGCTCATCATTTATAATGCCTTGCCATCTTCAGAAGTTACTCAGCTGCATCTTGTCCTGACTGTATTGTTATCCAGTGAGAACATCTTTCAATCCTATTCTCATTATACTGAAATTGGAGCTGTATTTTCAGAAAACTGTAATTTTAAGCACATATCCTAGGAGCTTCAGTTTTTGTTTCTCCTTGAAATGTGCTTGTATATTTGATTATTCATGGTATTTTCTGAAAATACAAATAAAAGACTGATGAAACTTTTCTGGAGCTGGAAAGCATACATAGCAATATATCATTATAATAATTTTATAATAAATTTCCAAATAATAAATAATAATTTTATATTACAAAATAAATTTATTATAATAATGATAATAATTTTATTATAATAATTTTTATTTCTAGGTTCACCTTCCTGAATACAAAATGAGTCATACTGTATATATTGTGAGCTCTCAGCTCTTACTACAGACTGCAAGATTGTTCATAGGAATTTTTCCCTTCTTCTAACTTGTTTGGAGATTGAGTTATTTTTTCTCTTGCTTGTTTGGGGATATTGTTTGTTTGTTTTAATAAGGACATATAATTTATCTAACTCCATATTTTCAATGCTACATTATATTTCCATATATATAGTCTATTAATAACACACATGAGCAGATTTTCTTCTGGAGAGATTATCCAGTAATCCTGCAGCCACTGCTCATAATTGGCTTGGTGATTCATTCTGCATGCAGCTTGCAGATTCCTCTGATTCTCACATCCTCTTCAATTCTAGTAAAATGATAACTTTAAAGATAATAGGTCCATAGGAAAATGGTACAAGTAGAGAGCTGAAGGCTTTATCAGCTATTTGTTACAGGGCAGAAAATCAGTGCCAGTCAGTAGAGAAGTTATTGGGAAGATTAATTTTTTCTACCATAATAATTTGAAATTTGTCTTTAATATTTAAGATCTTGGGTTATCTTTGCTCAATGAAAAGTGAATTCTTAAAGGATATAAAAAGTATATTTTTATAAAGGCTATATAAAAGTATATCCACATTTTATCATAAAATATGTGCCCAAGGACACATTAATTTCTATTTTGATACACTTATTACTCTTTCAGATATTAAAATAAAATTTATCTAATTTTTCAGATATTTAAATTTAAATGATACCACTTACCCATGCAAGTCTATGCTTTCTCTCTGTCATGCAAAGTAATAGAACACAGAAATAAGTCAATGGCCTGTCTATAGATAGAATCTTCTCAGAGAAGAATGCAGTAAAATAATCTCTTGGATTAGCTCCTTCTTCCTCTTTCACTTTTCCTCCACAGATAAGGAGCTACAGACACTGCAGGATTTAAATCACTGCAAGATCATAACTGTGCCATCAGTAGAGGTTTCATAGTGAAATCAACACAATTTAAAGAAAATTGTGTGGAACTATTTGCCTTTGGAGTTTAAGACCTTCCTTTACCACTGCAATAAATATAAAGTATTTCAAGTTCAAGTTTTAATTTCATCTGTAGGGATAACCTGTGGCATACCACCATAGCTTGTGGTATAAAAGTTGCCAGAGAGAGTCTTATCATCTTGCTCATACACATACACACACAGATTTGGACAAAAAACTTAAAATAAGAATTATTTTTTTTCTTGCAAAGCAAGATTGGATAAACAGTCACACACTGTTAGTCACACCATAGTCTATTTGGGACTTAAGTGAAATGAAATAAATTGCCTACTGCTACACAAAGCAGCAAATATTGTGTATTCAGCCAAACTTATCCCAGCAAACGTTTTCAATCCAGAATGCCTCTCCAAGTGGCCACTCTGTTTACACAAGTATCGCATCACAGTTAACATGGTCTCTTTTCTTTAAAGCACAGGTTTATCAGCTGGAATTCCAACAGTCCTCTACAGTTCCATATTCACATGCCCAGCCATCAGCTGGCATGTGAACAAACCATTAACTACAAAATTTAGACTCCTTTAGACTCTATTTTTTAAAGTTGATGGTTTTTGAAGTAACAAAAATACTCCAAGGATTCTAAGACAAGCTTCAAACAAGCAACTGAAATGCTTTCCTCCCTTTGACAATCCACAAGTCTCCTTTATCTTTTCTGTTCCTAAGGGTAAATTGAGTTACTTTCATGGAAAAAGTATCTTCAGGCCCTTAGCTAAAATATATAAGAACCTAATCAGCCTAATGTCATTCTAAAAATTAATCAAGAAAAAAGTCTGTAATCCCTATGCTTCCATCAACTATACAGGAAGAAATATGGGTGTTTGAAGAAGTTAAATTTAATCTCAATTTTTTTTAAACAGATTTAAATTTCGCATATAAAATCAAGGCA